GAACTAACTTGTCAGCCTTCAAATTAATTTCTACTAAAGGGTATAAAATGAGTGGGGGAGCCGAATCAAGTAAGAAACCGCAGCCTGTTTGTGGTCAGACAATGTGGACACCGTGTCCTCCCAGCAGCCCACAGCTTTAGGTTATGAATCAGAAACTCAGCAGAGAGGGTTTAAAAATGCATTCCTGGATCTAGACTGTGTAGATTCATGACTGGATAAAATAAAACCCATAAAATCACACTTGATATTAAGGTCGTGTCCCCGTGTCTGGGCTCTTTGGGGCAGTGTTCACTGTGTGTTCAAAAGCACAGACATCCTGTCACTTGTGAAAGAATGGCCAGTGTTACGGCCCTTGGCGTCACGAATGAGCAGAGAGTCTCTACAGGTGCGGTATGTTTATTTGCAGTCGGCAATGACCAGCTTCGAGCACCGTGAAAACTGAAATACAGAATAAACGTATAGAAACACAAGTTTGCTACTTTAAAATATGTAAAAAATGTGACTAACAATTACGAGAAATATGACACTTTACAATCAGTGTATTTCTACAACCTTATACAAGTAAGAACACCATATTTCACAAACCTTGCTGCGCTCACCAAGGCCGCAATAAAACCTGGATACCTTAGTTGCGTCTTCGGCCTGAAGCACTACTAGCTTGCGTGTTTTCTGAGATAAAGATAGAACCAAAATGACGTGAACATATAGCGAGAAAAGTTACCAGAGAACTATGTAAGCATTTACATTAACAATAAGCATCAAACCAATAGACAAATCCCCAGTACGAACGACATTATGGTTTGCTTACATCCTCCACGAAGGTCATGAGGTGAGTGAAATGAAACCGGGAAAATATAACAATACAACACTTCCTCATTCACGTTCCGGGGCAAACCTCTTCAGCGCCCTTATGCTGAGTTGATGATAATAAATCTGAGAGGGGGCTTTACGGTCAGTTACAGGTAGTCTTAGGTCAGAGAGCTGGAGAGGACACAGAAACATCAGGAGAGCAGGAGGCCCAGTTCAGTTCAATTCAGTTCTATTCAGTTTTATTTGTATAGCACCAAATAACAACAAGAACAATCTCAAACACTTTACAAATTAAAGTCTAGACCTTATTATTATTATTATCATTATTGAGGGAAAACCCAACAAATCCCCCTTGAGCAAGCACTTGGCGACAGTGGGGAGGAAAAACTTCCTTTAACAGAAGAAACCTCCGACAGACCCCGGCTCTTGGTGGGCGGCCTTCTGCCTCGACCGGTTGGGGTGAGTGGATAGAGGAGAGACAAAAGAAGAAAAGCAACAAGACACAACAAACAATCAAACACTGGTCAGGTTGATGTGGCCAGTGACTTCTCATCATGGTCAGATGAAAGCTATATGAGCAACAAACCATGAACAACTATTCTTATCGAACAGCTTAGCTTATTCTATTTTAGTATCAGTTAGCTTTATTCTTTAGCTTATTCTACTCTTAAAGGTAGAGAGGGTGTCCGCCTCCTGAACTGAGACTGGGAGTTGGTTCCATAAGAGAGGAGCTTGATAGCTAAAGGCTCTGCCTCCCATTCTACTTCTGTGGACTCTAGGAACCACAAGTAAACCTGCACTCTGAGAGCAAAGTGCTCTGTTAGGATGATAAGGCTCTATGAGGTCTTTAAGATACGATGGAGCCTTGTCATTAAGGGCTTTGTATGTTAGGAGAAGGATTTTAAATTTTATTCTGAATTTTACAGGGAGCCAGTGGAGAGAAACTAATATGAGAGAGATATGATCTCTCTTGCTAGTTCCTGTCAGTACTCTGGCTGCAGCATTTTGGATTAACGGGAGGCTTTTTAGGGAATTATTGGGACATCCTGATAGTAAAGAGTTACAGTAGTCCAGCCTGGAACTAACAAATGCATGGACCAGTTTTTTAGCATCACTTTGAGACAGGATGCTCCTAATTTTTGCAATATTGCGCAGGTGAAAGAAGGCAGATCTAGAGACTTGGTTTATGTGTGATTTAAAGAACATATTCTGATCAAAGATGACTCCAAGGTTCCTCACAGTAGTACTGGAGGCAAGAGCTATGTCATCTAAAGTAACTCATCTGCATAGCAATGGAAATTTATGTTGTGCTTCCTGATAATATTGCCTAAAGGGAGCATGTATAAAGTGAAGAGTATTGGACCTAACACAGAGCCCTGTGGAACGCCGTGACTAACTTCAGTTTGTGTGGAACATTTGTCATTAACATGAACAAATTGAAATCTTTCTGATAAATAAGATTTGAACCAACTTAGTGCAGTTCCTTTAATCCCAATAACATGTTCAAGTCTCTGCAGTAAGATGCTGTGATCAGTGGTGTCAAAAGCAGCACTGAGATCTAAGAGGACAAGTATGGAGACAAGTCCTTTATCTGAGGCTAGGAGAAGATCATTGGTGACTTTCACCAATGCAGTTTCTGTACTATGATGGACTCTAAAACCTGACTGAAAATCCTCAAACAAATCATTCTTGTGCAAGTGATGTGTTGCTGTTTCTGAAGCTGTTGTACTTGATGAAACATCTGTGAGAGTTGTGGGAAGGATCTGATTAATTTTTTCTCTAATAGTTGTGATTTTATTTGTAAAGAAACTCAGGCCGGGGCTCGAACTCAGCAGTAACTCAGATTATACGTAGTATAAGGTAGTTTTACCAGATACAACATATCAAAGACAGCAAAATAACTACCAAAATATACCAAACTACAAAAGAGACACAAAACAAACACGCAAACTACAGGAACTACAACTCCTGTGGCTGCTCAATCTGTGACTGTCCATGTCTGTGCCCACCACTGATTTTCTTCATTGACTATTTTAGTTCAATTTCTAACGTGTCAGAAAGAACTGAACAATTCCCTAAAGCCCAAGGCGATGTCTGTACGTGTTTTGGTTACCATTCAACAAACCTGTATGAGGGTGTGTCTCCTTTAGTTACAGATCACTTTGTCTTCATCTGCTTTTACAACAGTTAATGAGCCTGAGCTATAAAAAGCTGCAGCAAAGCAAAAATAGAGATGTTGTGGATTTGGTGGGAGGACGTCCACCCACTTATTAGAACATTTGTGGAAGAGGTCAGCTTCCTGTCGCTGTCTGGAGGAGAACCCAGCCACAGTGAATGGAGGTTAATCGGTCATCAGTTCAGTTTGTGTCTGTTCTGGAAACAGTGAAGAAGGCTGCATTATAGATAGTGTGTGTTTCTGAGCCAGCTGTTAGAATGTGTCCAACTGTGTGGGTGCAATACCAAGTCTGCCTCCGAGCACCGAAATAAAAGTAGGTGCACCCTGGGTACTCCAGTCTCACGAATGATTGACCATGAATTTTGGAATTCTAATTAATAATTAAAATAGCAAAATAAGTGGAACATCTAGTAAAGCTATTAGCATTTCAATGTTATTATAAATGCATTACAACCAGGTTTATAGTGGAATAGTACAGTAATGAACAAAACTGGAGTAGGTTGAGAGCAGAGGCTGGCTTCACTTACATTTTTAGATATAACAACACCACCAATGACTAAAATATAACCAGGTTTATTATACACTAAAAGAACCGAAGTTACAGCTAGCACTGTGTGAGCAGAACAAACACAGGGCACATCCTGTTAAAGTCTTTGTGTTAGATAGAGGCACCATCTGCAGATGTGTACTTGTGTCTGTGTTGTGTACCTGGTGTTACTCACACTGTGGAGTCCAACACCAGTTTACACACTCACAAGTGGTGGTCCCCACCAGGTAAAACATTGACTTTTAGACTCTGGAATTTCCCCATTGTGGGATCAATAATGTTCTACCTACCTTAGACTGAAGACTTGGCTTAATGTCAGGGTGATGTTAAGGTAATGGATAAGGTCAGGGTGATGTTAAGGCAATGGATAAGGTCAGGGTGATGTTAAGGTTTGGGATAAGGTCAGGGTGATGTTAAGGTTTGGGATAAGGTCAGGGTGATGTTAAGGTTAGGGATAAGGTCAGGGTGATGTTAAGGTAATTGATAAGGTCAGGGTGATGTTAAGGTTAGGGATAAGGCTAGGGTGATGTTAAGGTAATTGATAAGGTCAGGGTGATGTTAAGGTTAGGGATAAGGCCAGGGTGATGTTAAGGTAATTGATAAGGCCAGGGTGATGTTAAGGTAATTGATAAGGTCAGGGTGATGTTAAGGTTAGGGATAAGGCCAGAGTGATGTTAAGGTAATTGATAAGGTTAGGGTGATGTTAAGGTTAGGGATAAGGCCAGGGTGATGTTAAGGTAATGGATAAGGTTAGGGTACGTCCACGTCAATGTGAGAGCGAGGAGGCCTCCAGGCAGGAGGCTCTAGTTTCTGACTTGAGCCTTTGAGCAAATGTTTTCTGTGAACTCACTCTGAACACTGAGATCTCAACATTAAAGTGCAGACGTGTGCAGCATTACTGAGCAGAGAGAGAGAGAGCATGTATACAAGACCTACAGTATCTTGACCATGAGCAAGGGAATAGAATGAAACCTATCGAGCACGACCTGTTTAGCATCCTCTAACACACAGTCAGGTAAACTCAGGGACAGAGTTTAAGTCAGTGGGGCCTGGGCACAGAAATATAAAAGACCCCCAACTTCTCCTGCACTTGTAGGAGCACGACTCACAGACTGAGCAGCCATGCAGTTTGTAGTCAGTTTGTGTGTTCTAGGAAAATATTTGTGATCAGAGCTTGTCATAGAAGAAAGTGTCATCTTGACTGTGACAGGGGATGACAAGTCGAATTCAGATGAATTCTTAAAAGGAAGTGAAAACATTACACATTACAATACAGAATGCTACTATCTCTATTATTGGAACATCGTATTTGTCTTCGATTACTGCCCTGCTTCATGTCACCTGTAAACACAGCTCAACTGCAGATGGCATGAAAAAGATCTTTAACACTGCAGTTCTGTTCCCAGATGACCTACAGCTACATGTATAGTGCCTGTTAGCACAGGTTCTGTGTATCAGTGTGTTCTCTTTATGTTTTCATCGTGGTTACAAATAAAGGCCAGATGAGATTAGTTTGTTTATTTTGCATGTAACTGTCAGATGAAACCTGGCTAGCAAGTTTAGAGGTTTAAGAAAAATTATATAAATATGTTCAATAAAGGGGTACTAAAATCATTTAAAATGATGCTTTAATAAAGTCTGGAGACTCGAGTGACAGATAGATTACACATTTTTAAAAAAGCAGCAGAAGCCATTAGACTTTGTCACTTTGCAAGTTAATGACTAAAAACCCTGGATCCTGGATTTCCCATACAACTTATAGCATTGATTCATCAAACCTACCTGTGGTCACAGGGCCAGCCTGGAACAGGGCCGTTCCTATTGTTAGGGTTAACTGTGAATACACACACAGAAGGGCTAGGTGAAGACAAAAGTCTTTATTGAAACACCGACTAAGTAAAATCAGTAAAAACAGCAAACAAAGAAAGCTAAGAGTTACTGGCACACATAAACAGATAGAGTAACAAATCAACAGAGACAACGGAGATGACTAAAGAGCACTCAAAATAATGCAAAAGCAAATAAAGCACAGCACATAAGGATCAAAACAAAGTGCAAACCTGACGCCTGATGTAATAGCACAAAAATGAAATAAAAAAAATCAGGGAGCAGACCAAACCAGAAACACGAGGCTCAGGAAATCTAATACAGAGTGGACAACCTGAAACTAACTCGACTAGAGTCCATGAACAAGAAAAGGGAATGAGGGGCTGAGTCCCCGGAGCATTGGGGAGGGCGGGAGAGCAGGCAAGATACCAGGAGGTTATGATGAACTATCAAAGAGCTGAAGGAGGTGAATATAAACAGCTGCACCAGGAAAGCAATGACCAACAGGTGGAAGTAAGGGAGCATTGGCAAGGGCAGAATCAAGCTGGGTCAGGTGAGGTTGGCACAACATGGGAAATAACTTCAAAATAAAAGTCTACATACAGGAAGTAGCAGGGGAACCATGAAGTCTTCAAGCCTAAGTTGAGTCAACCTGAGGACCCCATCAGGGTTACCTTCTCTGACTGCTCCAGAGCCCCAGAAAACACTGTAAGGAATAAAATATCATGAAAACAGCTGCATATTGCAGGTTGTGCCTGGAGTTTAGACAGGAGTTTAGCACTGTGCCCTCTGGTGGCAGCTGTTACCTGGCGGTGAATGAATGTCTCTGCTCCTATTTTGTCACAGCTGCGGAAATGGCTTGGTCGGTGCAGCAGGGTGAGATGACCGAGTACAAGAGGACTGTGATCAAACGGGACCTGGAGATGGGCGTGGTCATGACAGTGTTTCGGCAGAAGGCAGAGAGGCTCACTGTACAGGTCATAATGGAGACCCATCAGGTGGCATGGACACGCACCGCAGATAAGACTGATGGTGTCTGTGAGTATATGAAAAATACAAAATCATCATTATCATGTCATCATCTGTGTATATAGTTCTGAAAACACAGTGACAATACCTCCTCCCCATTAACACCACGGGGCTAGTATCTACTGTACAATTACTTTAATTTGACTAGTGTTTTGTTAGCTATAGCAGGGGTGTTCAAATGATTGTGGCCAAGTGACTACCACTGTGACTATGAAGCAACCTGAGGACCACTGTTGTGTGATGGATAGACCAGTGGGCACTGTCTTAATCCTGAAAGGCACAGTGGCTTTTGTAATATTTATATGTTCGAACTAATTTAATTATTCACAAACAATAATTAATACATAGAAATGTGTTTAGGTAAGGTAAAATAAGACTTTATTGACCCCACAATGGGGAAATTCCAGTGTTAAAATAAAATAAAATATAATGTGAATCCCATATTGGAAATACATTGTTGAATGCATGGGGACCACCTGGAGTGCCTTCATGGATCACCAGTGGGCTGCGGGCCACTGGTTGCAAACCCTTCAGCTATAGGATGATGTTATACACTTCTTAACAACATATTTATTGTTTCAGCTCAGTAGTATGGGTATCATGCACATGCATCCAGGTGACTAGTTTCACTCTCCACTTATCAACCATTAGTGATGGTAATGAGTGAGGAAGCACAGCAATGGACCTGCAAAGTCAAGAAGAAAAAGAGTCCAAGCTAGCAAACATGGATGTAAGCAATGCAGGATTTATAATATTCAGAAAGTCATTTTGTAAATGTGTTAAAACTCAAGAGGTTTGTCATTCAATGTGTGAGAAGCAGGAAAAATAGGCAGAACTGTCCACAGGACAACTTCAGTGTAACTGAGCTCCTTTAAAATGTTGGTTAAAGGTGAAACCACTACAGGACAGGAAAGTGAGAGGAAGGAGCCCACCCTGAAAAGGTTGCTTTGCAAAAAACACTTCACCACTCTATCACATATAGGACACATGCTGTTTGAAAACACGTCCGAAATGGAACAAACATACTGATGAGTTTAGCTACATCATTGGGTAACCAGACAGAGCGACACACAGCAAAATAATATCATCACAGCTGCAGCAGGTGCCACACTGGGGTGGCTGGGAGCCAGACTCCGGGGGGAAAATCATCAAGTTAGTGGGGACTACAACGCTTTCAGCTGGTGGGCATCAAACTAACGTAATTCACAATCACAAATTGATTTGGATGCTGCAGCAGACTTGCCTGGATGTGACTGGCTGATTATTAGAACTGAAAGTAGCAAATGAGTGACGTCCTTAGCTTAGCTAGCTGCTGCTGGTCACACTGGGAGTGCAGACGACACATTCTAGCAAAGGGTAGTGGTTTGAATCCTTATCATACTACTATAAACATACCAGTCCAGCAGAAAGAATGCCAGATCAGCTTCCCTCTTCTCCATCAACCCTCTGAAAGCTGAGCCGATATGACTTTATGATCTAAATCCAAATGTGTTGGTTTCTTCCTTCTCTTCAAAACTCTCTTTTCTTGTCCTTCATTTCATGTAGCTGTCACATCTAACACTGAAAACAGTAGCTTGTTAGCCTGCTAGTTAGCCATAAGAGTGTTACATATTGACTGGCAGCTGTGAGCTCCCACCCCTGATGGCGTGTTACCCTGGTCAAAAGCCTTTAGAATGGAAGATCTGTGCACTGCTGCCAGGCTGTGATGGGTCTGGATCACAGGAGCCTTTGACAGCAACTCTCCCCATTAAAATATGTTTTGATGGATGTTTCTACTAAAAGTATTTTGAAATTACTACACATTAAAGTTTTAATTTAATCGCAAAAATGTACCACAATCAAACATCCATTTAGCATCAGTGTATTGTAATAGTGGTAGAATTCTCAGATGCAACTATGAAAAGATCCTGCAAACCAAAAGCTTCTGGACACCACTAAGGGCCACTGGGGATAACTGACCCTTTAACTGGTATCTTTAGTTCATCGGCCAAAAACTGAAAAAGCTGTGGAGAAAAATGTTACACTGGCAGAAACGCTATTAATTAGTATGGTGTTGACAGCAGTGTTGTTTGCATTTAGCTGTTTGGATGTTTTATGTCATCTGTCATAATAGGTTCCTAGAAATCCTGACTTCAAATGTCTGTGGGCAAACCAAATTTGTGATGACACAAATCTGAGAGCTAGTCACAGCTCACTATGCAAAGGCAGAGTTCAACAGTGCCTGCTGAAACCTGATACCTAAGACCTCTGACCTCTGACCTGGGTCAGCCAGAGCTCACTGTTGAGTGATAGGAGTGTGTTTACTAAAGATAAATATGCCTTTGTGTACAGTTGTTGAATGTAAACCAGGCTTCTTCTTCTTTACACTATTTATATAATTACTGTTTAGTAGCTAACACTGAGATGCTGGGAGACACAAGCTCATCAGCTACGGTTTTGGCTTCTGGCAGCAGCCTGAGTGCTGTGGTTAGCCAGCTGGTAATAATGACACTAGCTCCCGGTCAAGGTCAAGGGTTTATTGTCATTGCACAGTGAGGAAACGTGTTTCCCTGTACAATGAAATACTTCTTCTGCTAACGCAATGGTCACTCTCTAGATTAACTTTTGGATCAACTTTAAAAATGAAGAGATGGACTGAGTAGTGTGCCGCCTCCGTCTCCAGGAAGAGAGGTCAGAGACGGAGGCGGCACACTACTCAGTCCATGCCATAACTCCAGTATTTTGGTCATGACGCCAATGCTGTGATGTCGACGCCGCTTTTGTTCCTGTTCTCAAGCGGGTCGGCTGGGACACCAGCACCGCTTCTGATTCTGTTCCCGGTCTTAATGTCCCCTCTGGTGTGGCTGCTCAATGCCAGTTGGGCAGAACTGATGAAGCCTCTTGGATGAGAGGTGAAACGTCTACTACCTAAAACCAAGTCCAGATGATTTCCCTACATTTTTTCAGCTTACTATGACCTGGATGACTGAGAATTTGCACGGACACTCAGCACTAATTCTTAATCCCCAGCGATGCTGGTGTGTCTCCTGTCCCACATTACCTGCTGTGTTCCTGATCTGTCGTCCCACCAGCCTAACTTCACTTGCCTGTGAGTTTCCGACCATTCTGCGACACCATCGCCATACCAGTCTGACTCAACTTGCCTGTCAATTCCTGACTCCCCAGTGATGCTGCGCCCCACCTGCCCTGCTCACTGCCTGTGGGTTCCTGACACCACAGCTACACTTTTATCCCTTGTGCTCTTATTATTTAATAAAGTATTTCTAAGCTTCTTCATCATCCTGGTCTACATTTTGGGTCCTAACCTAGTGTGAAAATCATAACAGGTATGAGACACTTATCACTGCTGGAATATTAAAGCTGCATTAACTAATTTCTCCTTATGTTAACCCTGTGCCTGTGTGGGTTCTCTCCGGGTGCTCCAGTTTCCTCCCACAGTCCAAAGACATGCAGGTTAGGTTAATTGGCAACTCTAAATTAGACTTCATCAGGAGGGGCATCCAGCATAAAACATGCCACATTTAGCATGCGCATCATCAGCTGGGTGGCAACTGATGATTTGCTGTGGCGATCTCTAATGGGAGCAGCCGAAAGTAGAAGATTAACTAATTTTCCTTGTCATTTTCAACCATTAAGGGTGAAGTGAGAGTCAAAACAAATTCAAACAGTATCCCCTCCTCATTCTCCTTTTTGCCCCTCCTGCCCTGTCTGTGAAAGTAGGCCATACTGTATGTGGTCAGACAGCCAGAGACAGTTGTGGTAGTCAGGTGGAGCAGCAGTAACTAATGTATACAAAATGTAGAGGCCACAGAGCCTGTGGTTTTCAGTGGCACTGCAGCGACATAATGTCAAATAAATTAAATGTCAAATTACACTTTAGCGATATGTATGTCTGATGTTGTTTGTAGCAGATGTATCTGCAGTAACACAAGCAAATTACACCGAGGAATGTTTTTTCCCAGTAGCACTAATGTTCCAGTCACAGACACATTGTGTTCAGTGTTGCATACTTGACACACATAACATTTGCCAATGCAGCTTGCTAATGATGCAGACATATACAGTTTAACCAGCTACAGTACTTGCCCGTCTAGCACAAAGAAAACCACATCTGTGTCAAGTTTTAGTCTTTCGGATGCTTCTAATGGTCTCCCTCTCTGACACGCCAAACCAATGTTAACTCTGATGTTGCCTCGTTCATTGTCGCAGTCTTTCTGTGCCACAGAATGCGGCCTCCTGGGTGGAACAGCTCCGCTCCCACCCTGGGTTGTACCCCCACAAGGAGTCTCCACAGTCTGTCTGAAATTAGCCATAATGGTTTGAAAAATGCATCTTATAACCTCGGATCAGCGGGCGCATGGAAGAAGTGTGGTGCAGGTTTTAAAAAGCCGGCCACCGAGGACAAGAAATAAACAGAAGGCCTGAAGACAGGAGAGTGGTGTGGGGGTGAGGGGTTAGTACAGCAGGGAGACAACACTTCTAGACAATTTTTAATTTGAATTACTCAAATTTGAACAAAATTTTAGTTAATGCAGCTTTAACAGCAAAGCACAGATGTATGACAGGCAAGGCTCACCGCTGAACCAAGTGCTGACAACCTACTTCTGTGTGAACTACTAACTTTAGATTAACGCTACATTTTGGATCAGCTGAGATAATAAAGAGATACTGACCTACTCTTCAGTATTATGAGATGGTATGAGGCATGTCCTATGCCCTACAGAATGCTAACCATAGTAACAGTAATACAAGTAATACAGCACTTGTGTTTTGTAATTGCAGCTAAAGATGAAATTATGCCTTCCCCAGAGACGATGATTTACAAAGGGCCTTCTTCAAAACAACCCCAAGAAATGTCTGTGCTGTGTTTCAGTGGACCTGTTTGAGATCAGAGAGATCCGTCCAGGGAGGAACTCCAAGGACTTTGAGCGCTTTAGAGATGGCAAGGACAAACACGAAGAGAATACCTGCTTCACAATCTTCTATGGCTCACAGTTTGTTCTCAACACCCTCAGTCTGGGAGGTAATGGCTTTATTTTTAAATATGTTTCTAGTCTGGTGTTCATTTTGAGAAGAAAGCTCATTCTCATGGAGGAGACCAAAATATTAATGTTTGTGTAGAGTAAGTACAGAGTAGGCCAAGCTTAGCATAAGGACTGCAGGATGAGATAAAAGAGCTAATCTGGCTCTGTCCAACATTGTCCTCAGTTTTGGATAGAGCCAAGTTAGCTAGTATCAACACCTCTAAAGCTCACACACTGGCACAGTGTCATCCACCCAGTACTCCGGTCCATCACGTGATTTGCACCATACAGTCAGTGAGCACAGGTTTTGGAATTAATTTCATGCTATGAAACTACAAACTGTGGAGTTTACATTTTTGTTAGTATACAGGTTAACAAACGGCATGCGTATGTAACTGCACTGGCTGTGCAACTTATTAGTGTAACCTAACTTTATGCTTATAAACCTCAGGAAAAATATGTGCATAAAGCAGTTTCTCACCATTTCCTAGATTTCCCATATGATAAGGTCTGACAGACAGTTGCACACTCTGGAGGACTCTACATTCCGTGTGCCTTTTGCTTCAGGAAGTATGTTGAAATGTTGAGCAACTCTCCTCATGTAAAGCGAGTTCAAAGGGCAAACATTTCCTACTCAGCAGAGCTGATGTCTGATCTACCGTTCCTCATCCACAGAGTATCACAGTGATACATGTGTTTCATTTTCTAGCTGATTCTGTGGAGGAGGCTCAAAAATGGCTGACAGGACTAGAACTGCTGAGGGAAGAGACACTGGCTGCATCAACTCCAGTTCTTATAGAGAGGTAGGCACACACACAAACACACATTCTGCACATATTCACATAGTCCTTAGTAATAAAGACTTATCCCATCACTGTGTTGTTTCTCCTACAGTTGGCTGAGGAAGCAGATGTATTCTGTCAATCAGACAAAGACAAACAGGTAGTGTATATAAATATGACCAGGTTATACTGGCTCTAGGACATACAGTAAACAATATAATCAGTATTGTGTCTGACACTGGTATTATATGACTTTGACACTGGTATTATATGATTTGATAATACCTTTTTCTTTTACCATGTTAAGTCCTTATCAGTAAAAAGAGTATTGTCTAATCCAATTTCAGTATGTCAAAAAAAAAAAAAAAACCTATAGGAGCTCATGTAGAGAAATCACCTCTGTCAGAAGTGGTGAAAACTTTTGTTTTTCTTTCCTAAATACTTTACACACAGTATCACATCTGAAATCCATTAAAAGTTATATTTATGAGAACTAGCAGGATAATAATACTTCAGCATGTGGCCAGATCAATCTCTGACAGCTCTTTGTATGCGCTCCAGCATCTCCATGAAGGAGCTGAAGGCTCTGCTTCCATTGCTCAACTACAAGGCCCCCAGCTCTCGTGCTCTAAAAGATCGATTCCTGGTACTCTTCTTTTTTTCTCTTTATATTGTGTCCTCATCATTGTTTTCTCTAAGTGCTTGTTAGGGTGTGTTCGAACACAGAGTGAGCGAGCAAATAAAAAGCGGACCCAGGTGGCTGGCTTCGGTGCAAGCAGTGAGGTTTATTTACAGTGAAGGTAGTGACATATATACAGGAGGAGTAATGAGGTAGATGACCGGGTGTCGATCAGCAGCAGCAGAAAAACAGTCAGTGGTATGGTGGATGATGATGTACCGGGCTGCGGACGCAGAGGTCACTCCTGGGCTGGTTGAGGTGGAGGTGATGATGGCTGTAGACAGAAGAGCAGGGATAAACTGGGTAAGGGAGACTGTGCATCGACCTGGGAGGCGGTGGCTGGTGGTGTAGATTAAATCCAGGGGGGTCCAGAGGAGAGGTC